ATAAGATGTTCTTATAATATTCATCAAACGTGGGAATGCTACGCTTTTTAGCTAGGGGCCTCCCCCTCAAATCAACGCTAATGGCTCTCGGGGTCGCCGGCTCGGCTGGATTATTAATATTGTCAAAAGTTAAGTGCGTATACTTTCACGCATGATGAACCGACGAATTACTATAAATGTGTGGCTTATGCGTATATATATAGGTACACGTGTGCTCCACTCGTGTCGAGTCCTGTTGTTGGAAGACCGTTTATAGTAATATATAGAAGTACCCATATATGTTTATTTTTATATACCTCTTAGGGCCCATGTGTCTAAAATATAAATCGACCAGTACCATCGACGGATGTGTATGGTACGTCTGCAGTAGTCGTACATTTACGCGGACAATGAGTCGCTTTTGTTGTGTGCGTGTAGTTAGTACTACTAAAGTGCGTGTGTGTGTGTGTGTGTGTGTGAGTGGTCGGTATGCGCCTTGTAGACGCCAACGAAGATTTTTGTCCAGAAAAAGGTTTGTCACGGGACAAAAAAAAAACATTAAATAAAAATTACAATTAACGATGTTTACGATGCTAATGAGATAACTTATAATACTACAATAGTTATGCGCGCACGTGTGTATGCGACCGACAGTAAATTAGAAAGTGAGAGCAGCCGTTACAAATGCGCAGGATCCAACGAAATAATATAAATTATAATAGTATGAAGGTATAACGTTGCTAACCACTTTGGAATAATTGCACCAATACTCAAAATTGCAGTATGCTTGGTGTGTTACACTGCCCTGATTTGTGTGATTCATTTATTATAGAACAGCTTCAGAAAGTAACAACTATAAGAATTGTATTATATAATTATTGTTTCGGAAAGCATTCCTTAACGAGCACCTATATGGCCATATCCACTAACCGTCGGTAGTATTCGTTTTTCTTAAACCATCACTATTTATACACACTTACCGTTTTGTTACAGACGACAAGTCTGTAACCTTAGTCATTCAAAAAGATTTTAAGTATAATTATAATTGTTCGATACAACTACTTAAATTACAAATTTATACATCGATATTTTTTAATTGTTTGTATATGTAATTATAATTGGAAAATGAATATCTATTTTGAGTTAAAAAATAAATGGTACATTATACTATACGAGTAATAACGATGACACAGGATATTGTAATAGTACGAATAATTGAAAACATTATTTAGAAGAGCTGTCTGTATTCAAAGTATTTTATTTTCTAATCTGGCTATTGAACTATTTAAGCCCAGAGATATATTATGAGGCCTGCGTAATATTTGTTTTTACGGCCTATGACTTAGGTATTATTTGTTACGGTATTACAAAACGCATTTGAATAAAAATTTATAATTTATGTTGTTTATTCATGACCTGCACTTAAATTAACACTACTATGTGCACAGTACTATTTAGTAAAAAATTTACCTTAGGGCTATTAAAAGAATTATGTATCCAAGAAGAATATTTGCGTTAAACTTCCTTTGTTGGTTTTAAGTCATTCACTTTAATATGCATTTGCATCATCGCCTGACAAAAACTCTTAACAAAAATAAACATTGAATATTTATAAATCTTGGCCGTTTTTAGAATAGTTTTCATATCATTTAATAAATGCATTGTAAATCCCTACTCTATTTTTTACTGTTTTCGTTAAATCGAATTCCGTAAGTATACTTATTTAGCATAGGCGCGTTATTGAAAGCTTGGTAAACAAATTATTTTATAAAATGTGAATTTTAAAGACTAACTTAATAGTCAAATTAATAATTTTATTAGACAGCAGCTCTTAATAAATTTAAAAAAAAAGAAATTATTGTTCTTTCAGTTTATTTTATTTTATATTATGCTGTAGAAATTTGTTTTATTCATATTCAACTATATTATTTATGATTTAAGAAGGAGAAATAGTAATACAATTGCCCACTAAAACATGTAGGTACTCAAACTTCCTCGCATTTTTTGAATGGACCAATAATAGAAAACTGTACTTTCATAAAATTTATGATGACAACTGTCTAGTGTTTAAAAATTTAAAATGTAGTTCTTAAATATTTATGTTGCATAATTCTATACTGCCTAATAAAGTTTATTTCGTAAATTGAAATTAATGAAATAAAATAAAATAAAATAAAATATAAGAATAAATAGTATAGGTATAAATGCTAAGTTTTAAATTTGATTATTGTCGTTGTTCAAATCGAAAATATAATACGAAAAATGTAATTGTTAAAAATCAAGAGATTATAAATATTTAATTAGGTAGGTACTACAATTTTATTGTAGGTATTTAATGGGTATGCAAAAACTTATACTGCAATATTTTGCCTATAAACTAGTATAATGTATAGGTACCTACATGGGGCTCTATGTATTATTGATTCTTACGTCCTACGTTTAAAATACAATTTTTTAATTATATGTTGGTACTTTTTTATGCATACATAATATATATATATATTAGTAAATATTACGTGAAAGTTAACACATTTTTACTCTTGCTATTATATACTAAAATTACGCATTCTCGTAGATTCTTCAGCTCACCATTGAACTATATAAATATTATCGTATGAAAGTATAGTATAGTTTTTCATTAAAAATAAAGTATTTTCGGTGAATCACGCTAGATTTTTTGATGACTATTTTAATGTAATGGTTAAAACACAAAAAAGACATTAAAGCCCGATTTAAATTTTAAAAAAAAATGTTTAATTTAGTATAATACCCATGTATTTAATAAAATTCGAGTATTTTTCTTACAGCCTAAGCCTAAAGAGATGAATGATAATATCGCAGTCACAGTTCAAAGTCGTTGACAACAAGCTCATTACACGGATGAATTAACTCTGTTTGTTGTAGGCACATAAATATAGGTATTATGCCGGTTTCATCCGATTTAAATAACCAAACATTTTTTGGTATCGGAAATTATTTTATAATCAATTGAACGGCATAACAATCGTTTATTTTTGTATTTAAAAATACATTTTGAAGGTCAATGTGATGAGGTGCAATTTATTAGCATTCACGATACCTACGGTAATAAGCATCGCTAAACGTTGCCAAATCACGATCAGTCAACGATCGTTTAGCATAATATTTTTCTTTCAAACATGAAGCATTTACTAGGAAATTGATTTTAATATTATTTATAGTATTATTTTATGGCAAATGATCATTAAAATAGATACTAAAATAGTTTTAAATATTAATTAATATTCTCTTCATAATAATTACATTTATCCCAAATGATGTGGTTTCTGACGACCGAACAAAAACATGCATTATTCTTTTAGGTTGTGTACTTGTGTATACAATTTATCGACTTTTTATGTTATTTAGTTAATATTTACTACAATTTCGATACAGATTTGCATACAACTTGCGTTCGAAAAAAATTTATATTTTGACATTAATTTAGGAATAAATTCAACCAATAATTTACTGCGCCCCGTCTTGGAAATGAAACAGCTTGGCAATATTATTTTATTCTACTTACTCCAATATAGTCATAAGTTATGACTCATAACTGAGTTACGTCCTCATAACTATATTTTTTACTTAACGTCTCTTATTTAAAGTTAAAAATGAATTTAATTTATAGTCTTAGTACAAAAAACCTTAAATTTTAATTTATGTTTGTGGTTGGTTATAGTTTAAGTTGATAATAATTATTGACGATTTGATAGTGATATTATATTATTATTTACGAACATTTTTAAAATAGTTAAGTTACAATTTTAACTTCAGTTGAACCTAACAATTTAACTGTATATATTATATAATAATAATGTATGATAAATTGGTATTTCATTCAGTAATATGTTTATCTTGTACAAAATATAAAATATTTAGTTTCTCAGATATTTAAACAAATAGTTATGATTTTTTCCGACACATGGAATTTTTAGTTTCTGCATAATACATTTCCAAGTTCTACTTGAATTGAATATACTTTCTATACCTACTATTGTAGTATTGTAATAGTTTAGTTTTAATTATTTAGTTTTATCATATAACTTAATTATAAATGTATAATTTGTTATATATCACAAAATATAATATATTAGTATCTACATTAATTATATAAGAAATGTCCATAGGCAATTTGTATTTATTTAAATGTGTGATGATGTAATATAATATAATGCCTGTAATCAGTGTAATCTATAATTTATAATATTAAAAACTGGGACGTAACCTGCAGGTTGTTCAAAATGTATTCGCTATTGGCTATCCAGGCCATAGCTTTGCTATCGCTAACTAACCTAACCTGAACACAAGTTGTGGACTGACCTTTTGTAACATTTTTTTGGGGGGACGCAACTCACTTGCTGCAGATAATAATTACAGGCTCACCTATTACAGATAGTAATATTGGACGCAAGTATTATGCAGAGCAATATTGAACTCCGATTTAATAGAAAATAATATCATATTGTACCTGAGTAGGTACCTCAATATCAGTTTTAAATGTTTAAGACTATCAATTTTTTTTTTTTGTATTGAACTTAACCCCGGCAACTATGGCCATATAGTTGTGTATAGGTTTTTAGTAGGTTTATTACTGTGGGGGAGGATATGGTTGGTTAGAACACGTGTGTATATGTGGCGAGGATTTGTCACTATAGAACCCGGGTGGTCACCCATCCGGGAACTAGTGACACTAGCTGATGCTTGATTTCAGAACTGAAGCCTATCACCATGTCACTATACAGGACACAGACTATCAGTTGTTGACAATAAAAACACAATCTGTATTATTATATTTTATGTGATTTAATTTAACTAATTACTAATGTACCTAATTGATATAATATACATAGTGATATTTTCCAGTATGTGTAAAATATGAAAGTTTTGTTCGTAATTATTGAAAACTATCATTTTAAAGTTAATAATAAGTGAAGTACACGTATTATACGGGTCAAGAAATTATTATTATTAAATATATTTTTATCTGTTATTGTTTACAGATGTGGCTCTATATTTACAAACGGTGTTGGTCGCTGAATCTCTTTCAGAGCGAGCCGAAATACAACGCCAACAGCTGTTGGAAAAACTCACCAACAGAGAAATGTCACCGGCTAGGACTCCTTACATGGATATGAACGGACGTTCAAAGGGTAATTTTTTTTTAGCACATTTTTTATCATGTTTAATTTTCACTTCCGATTATCGGTAATTCTAAAATCAGAGATGACGAGAAAAAATATGCGCAGTATACTAATAGCTTTCGCCGGGTTGGTAAATAACGGTAGGTCATAATATACATATATAATATACCTACTCATAAACAGTTTGCAAAAGAAGATGCGGTACTACCATCAAATAACTTTTTATATATAATATGCGCACGATATGAATTCATAAAGAGGTAGTTTTTATTATTGTTGCGTTGTCTCGTCGCCTATTTCAATCGTGACACGATGGGTTTCAAGGTAAAATGTTGACACGATATCAAAAACGACAAAAACCCACGGCACAATGCTTCCATGCCGACTCGGCGACGCCACAGGTATAGGTATATAGTGATGGTAGGCCGATAAATACCTACAAAAATACCTACTACAAGAATAATATAATAATATAAAAATACGTGCAGCGTACCGTGTCAACTCTTGATATAATTATTTTGAATTTAATTTTAATAATTTCATGCAATTTCTTTTGTGCACACGTTTTTCGACGAATAAAAAATGTTACTAGAAAAATAGTAAGAAACATCCAACTATAATAGTACCAAAAGATAAAAATATATAATGTTAGCTACAATATGTAATTTATGTATCTATGATGTAAATTAATATTTTAAAAGTAAAATCATGTGGGGATTTTAAGTGGTGATCAATAATTATTAAGTTTTCATCCATTATAGCTGATACCTAATATTGGATTTTTTTTACTCTTATTTTGTTAATTTCTAACAAAACGCCTGACCTTAAAAAAAATATAAATAATAATTTTTAAAAATGTGTACAACAATATTGAAATATTTGATTTGAGCACCTACATAGTTCAAATTGTATTCTTCTAAAATGGCAGGTACCATGAAAAATTACTTTTTGAAATTGTCTCAGCCGGTAAAAATTTTCTTTAAATTGTATTTGGCTGGACAGGGATGGCATCGCTGTTTTTTAGAAGGCCGTTGCAAATCCTATAAATGGTCCATCAAAACGACTTAATAGGAATGTCTAGAATTAGCTAAAATTTAAAAAGTTAGCTTACCGGTGCAAAGTAATCTTGTTTATGCATTCAAACATTTTTACATTTTTTAAATCTAATCTTTAGAAGTTTTTAAATTTTGTCAAGAGTATATAGCTATTTCACGTCCATAAATTAGTTTTGAATATTTTGATCGAATGACTTAATGACATGTGCATGTGGGTGATGGAAGTAAGTTATGATCATTTTTGAACTGTGCATTTTTGCACATTTCGAAATGATCATAACTTACTTAAAAATAATAATATTAATAAAATCCTCCGAGGCGCATCCTAGACAATATTCTTGTCTTTAAATATTATTAGAGGTAAATTCACTCTAATTTTAGAAATTACAGGTTAAAACGTATTACTGTGGACGTAAATTCGCCACGTTGTACGTTTGTAAGACGGAAACAACAATAAAATGCCCTTTGGCGTTCTCTTAAAAATTACACTTTTACAAGGGCCTTATCATAATGATAATAATATTGTGTGTGCATTGATTGAGTTTATTGTACCAGCGTACGGGTATAATGACGTTTTGTGTTTCGCTGCAGGTCTGATAATGAAATCGAACAGCTTCGCGTGCTTACACCAGCAAGCGGCGTACGAAGAACTGTGCTCGAACCAGCCGATCTACAACAACGTGCCGTACGAAGACGACATACTGAATTATGAAACTTTTGTGACCGGTTGCAACGGATACGGTCCGCCGTCCAAACACCACCTGAACGCGAAGCGGCACAGCGCGCCAAACAGCGGCGGCGGCGGAGGTGGCATCACCGACAACAGCAACCTGTCGACGGGCTCGTTGAGCAAGTCTGCGCTGAACGGCAGCAGCAGCCTTAGCAGCCGGTCGAACAGCGACTCGTCCGAGAGCTCGAAGAGCGAGGTGATCTACGTGTCGGCGAACGCAGTCAAGTACTCGGCCAGCAAGTACGGACCGCTGACGAAACGCGAGAAGATACTGTTCGTCGACCACACGAAGAAGTACTGGGCCGCTGTGCTGTCGTCCACCATGTACGTGTACAACGGTGAAAAGGAGCTGAAACCTTGCCTGGTCGTCCACCTCGAAGGGTACACGGCCAGGGACGCGGCGGGCGGCGGTAACCGGACCAAGGACTGGATGTTCGAAGTCGTGTGCCCGGGCAAGAAGACTTACCAGGTATTACCTATATTATATTGTATACAACCTGTTTGATGGTATATTTTTATTACCATGATATTGTGTAGAGGATATTATATTGCTGTATAGCGCATTGAACTGCAGTGTACGAACGACGTGGTAAAATAATTTTTAAAAATTGAATAAAAAAAGTTGAAACTTATGCGATTTCACTATGAATTGGTGATTTGTGTGGGCAGTCCATTGTAAAGAATACTTTTATTTTGTTTTCAAAATACATATTCAAATAAAATATAGATGAAAAGGTCTATAATAACATTAATACATTGTCCAAAGAGTATATTTTATAGTATTCCAATATTTTGATTGCAGTTCATTTATTCGAAAACTATGTAAGACCGTAAGATCTTCGATAATATAGATGTAATCAAGTAATTTGTGAAAATTCGAAAAAAGCAAACACTCTTTTAGTTAAGTCGAGAAAAGTTTAGAAAACAGTAAATAGTTTAATGTTAAACTGTAAGATATCTTGAATTTTTTTTATAAATAATATATTTTTACATAGGCGAGGTACAAGCTACTTAATATTATATTCAACAAAAACTGTAATGACAGTTTTTGAATTTAAAATCCTTCAGAGATCAAGAAACAAATGTGTATCGAATCATATTTCTCTTTGGAGCTTAACTAGATTTGTTTGCCCAAAATATATTTAGGTAGGTATACTTACGTCTGAAAATCTGGACATCTGAACCATTGCCAGTGCTATATAGTACTTAAGCGGTGCTTAACAATAACAAAAACACATATTAATATTTGTACTAATCGTAGCGTTGTACGTTTTTCTCGATTTCCAGTTCATTGCTCAAAACCAAAATGACCTGCACTCTTGGATCGAGGCCATCAACAATTCGTGCAGCAAGCCGTCCACCCCAGAAATGGAGCAGCTCCCGCCGTCACCCATATGCTTCAAACAGGAGCTGTTGCCTAACCGCGAATTGCCCGTACCCCCCGCTGCTATCGAAGATTCCACTGCGCAGGATTACTATTATGATAAACCGAATCCTATCATAAGACCGGTCAATCTCTACGAAAACGGGACGGACGATGTGGATATGATTGAGTCGATTTACCACTTTATCGACGAGTCCAAACAAGAAAAGGACACGCTGCCGAAGGTTTATATTATCACTATTATTATTATTATTGGTTACTGGTATTGTTGATACTTTTAACCGATCGTTATCGATTTCTCGGTACTGACAAAAATGTGTGTTTATTTTTTTAGATCGATAAACAGTTCTGGGACGGCGACACGTCGTATTACAATATCCCAAACAACATACCAGTGCCCGTGCCATTGAAGGAAGATCGAAATAACAACGAATACGATGATTATTTTGCCGAAAAGGAAACTAGCTACGACATAATAACGAGTATGTTTTAGCAAATCCTTTGTTAGGCGCCAGTGGGGTAGACAGGAATTTCAGTACAAAAATATAATGGACCTTACATGAATGTCGAAGAAAGGGTTTTAGAATTCCAAAATAATCATATCAAAAATCGATCGTATCTACTATTTAGAGTCTTAAAATTCTGATCGGAGCGATGGATGTATTGATTTTACAATGCTCATTTTTTTCTGCCTGCCATCACCAGTAAAAATGATTCGATTTTCGATTTCAGCATCTATTTTTTTAGGAAAGTGAATCAAGTTGGTACATTGTAGGGGAAGGGGGTGTCAAAAGTAAGAATATGAAAATCCCAGCAGTTGTATATAACATTATCTATTGTAATACAAAAATAACAAAAGTAAATAATAACATTTCTTTAGGCTGCTTGTCAATAAGTGATCGACTGGATTCGCATATTATTGAGATTTAAGTAAAGTCTATTGCATACAAGGCCCCCATGTCCAATTTCATAAAATGTTATTTTACAATATTATTTATTATAAAATAAGTATTTCTACTAAAATTTCAAAAATTACAAATAAATTTCAACGGGCCCACGGGGCCTTAAAATAGCCGGGCCCCCGTATACAAAGTCCATCAGCTCCCCCCCCCTTGCCCACTGATTGCATTGAAAATTCATACATTTAAATAAGTTTACCAAATATAATGCATGTACATTTCTCGAGTGAGTGTCAGGTGACCACAAAGCAAAGCTTAAATAATATTTTGAATTCTATTTTAATTCTCATATACTAGGTTAAAAATAACATAAGTAATAATCGAAAATCAGTTTACCCTTTAAGTTGCCAAGGCTGTAATATAAACACATTTGTAAAGTTGTAGACATATGACGTGTCTAATGTACCTACGTGAACTTTGGTTTCAGACGACGAATGCGAGGTGACAGTGGCGGACCCGGTTTTGGGCGTACAACAGATAATCCAAAAAATCGAAGAGATAAACAGCAAAAAGTCATCACCTTTTTTAAGGCGTAAATCGCAACCAAAGAACAACAACTGTCCGATGAGAAACTCTACGCCGATATACACTACCGATGAGTTTTACGAGCCCATGAAAGTGATAAAAAACACCCAACCCGGCAACAACGTAGCAACAGTTGTCGGTTCACAATCGTTTAGAAAATCTCGTTGAACGCGCTTATTGATTTGATATCCCATGTCCTTGCTAACCAATTGTGTGGAATCTCGGTCACGTCGTAGTTAAATTTTATCAATTTCCCTTAAATTATTTTAAAGGTTTAAAGGCTATGATGGTTGAAGATTGTGTAATATTAATACATGCATATTTAAGAACATATTATACATATCGCGACGCCGCAGTCATAACGAAATGTGTTACATTAAATTATTATTTTATAGTAAGTCGCTCAATACATTTTTTAAATTGCAAACAATTTTGATATTGTCATGATATCTTATGTACGCTATAATATAGTTTCTCCTATTAAGACAAGTCTGCTTACCGGTAGAGATCATGTTTAAACACTAAATATAACACATTGTATAAACATTTTTAACGCCAAAAAAAGGAAAAGCTACTTTTATGTTTCTAGTCTGTAGGTTGTAAACAATTTTTATTTTGTTAATTGATTTTTTTTTATTATTATATAATAGCATTTAGATAGAAATTACAATTGTCCGATGAATATCATTGATTTATTATCATACTATACTTACTGTACTTTTTTTTTTTAATACAAATAAACAAATACATTCCGTGTTGTCAACTAAAAACAATAACATGTACAGAATTATCCTGTTAAAGATTACTGTTGGATCTCTAATATTATACATTATATTGTATGAATTATTATACTCCTACTCTTTAAATGTCACAGCCTCGTTCTTGTCTGTCTTTATACATAACAATGTTCTTCAGTTCACTATAATATCGTGATTTTTTACCGATTACAATTGTGTTATTAGTCAACTAATACTGTTAATATACCTTATTTAGGACTTAGGTGTTAGATAAACCATGGACTTTATATTTTGTAATTTGTACATATTGTATCACTATATATAATGATTAATATTAGTGCAAAAAAAATAACCGCATTGAATGTAATTATTTACTAAAACTGAATAAATGCAGTAACATATTGTAATATAGAAATATTATGATTAAAATTAAAATTGTATTTTCTGTATTTTTTTTTTTTTTGTTTGTTTGTTGCCTTATCAAGATATAAGCATTGTACGGTATAATAGGAAAATATTATAGCTTATTGATGTACAATAAAACTTGTGTAATATGGAACCTGAATAACGTGGAAACCTGACTTTTATGGAAAAATGTTACTGTCCCGGCGAACTTAATGTAGTTTTAAATAAATCGTTCCCTGAATAAGATGGAACCTGTTTAACGTGGAAATGGAAACAATATTTTGTCAAGTACCTGTATATCATGGAAATATGTACATGTACTATTTTAAAATTGTCAGTCAATGAATATATAATCTATATCAATTATATAGATTATTCGTTGCAATAAGTTTATTTTATCAATAAGTGTCGTAGTAATGTTCTGACGTAGACTGCGTATAGACGTATATTCAATATGATGTCCAAAAATAAATGTTTAACACTAAATGAAAAAATTAAACTAATTGAGTCAAGTGAAAAAGATAAATTAATAGTAAAACAAATTTGTAAACTTTTCAAATGTGGAAAAAGTCAAGTGTATAATATATTAAAGTACTAATTAATGTACTAATGATACTGATATTATTAATAATACTACAGTGAAACATTGCACTTCAATAGACGTTGAACAATCCAGTTCCGAAGACGAAACAGATAATGTACCATTGCACGGCAATGGTATTAAAACGTATAAGAACGCCCTCCATGAAATAAAACGATTAGAAATGTTCGCATTAGATCAAAATAATAAAAATGAACTTCTTGAATCAATTCTCAACTTGAAAAATTTAGTAGAAAAGAAAATGGCAAGTCAAGTAACAAAACAAAAAACATTGGATGAATAATGGAGTAAAATGCAATAGTAAATAATATTATGTAAAATATATGAAATAAATGAATTAATAATAAATAATAAATTATATTTAATAAAGATCTATCGTGAATTTTTTTTTTTACAACCTGCATTAAATGGAAACCTGTCTAAAATGGAAAAAATATCCGGTCCCAACTGTTTCCATATTACACAGGTTTTACTGTATTACAATTTTATTTAAGGACAACATTTTTCGTGGACATAATGGTTTTTTTTTATTTAAATATTTCTAAACCTCGAAAAGTCAGAACTATTTATTTTATGCAATAATTTAGGGAAAATAATAATAAGAAAAAAATATCAAACACCTGTAAAAAATCAATTGCATTTATCATGAATAGTGAATGATGAATAACTATTAGGTTGTAGTGAATAATATAATCGATAAGTGCAAGGAAAGGCTGCAACCTGATTGAGCATAGTTTACTTTTTTCGCAGCCTGATTGAGGACATGCCCAAGGCGCAACTGGCAACTAAACAATAGGAATCTAAAATACGACACGACTGAGCACAAAAATACTTACAAAGTTTCCGTTAGGTATTATTATTTATTAAATAGATATGTGCGCATTTTTTTTTTTGCTTACTAAATACAATATAATATCACTTATATAATATTGTCGCTTTTGTCCTTAAAAATTGTAAAAAATAGTTTAAGTTATCGATATGTCTTAAAAAAAAAAGTGTGGTAATCATAGATAAACCGCACATTTTAAAGTTGTATCTCTAAGTACTTATTTCCCACTTTTAGTTGATCCTTGGTATTCTAATTTCTTAAATATTCATTGTAAAAAATAGTATTTTAACCCCAATAAAACAGTACAAATAGTACCCCCCAGTCTTATTTTCTTACCTGTAATGGTTTTATGGAAACTCCGCAAAAGTTAAGGCCTTGCTTATGTAAAACTTAATATAGATCTGAACTGGAGGTAGAACGGTAGTAGCATATGTCAAAGAGATCAAACAATAATAGATATTTTATGTTTTACTACTCACGATAAAAACCAGGGTTTGAAGTCGATATGAGATTTTTCGATCTTAATTTTGATGTGGCCTAACAGTATTTTGTTTTCCTGATTTTAATTGAAAAATATTGTTTTTACCTTTTTCTGATTACTAAATCTTTGCGTCGTTTAAATTATTTTTTTTGATGTTTGATTTGCATTATAAGTATAAGTTAACTTTTTCTGCGGTATAAAATGTAATTTTTACATACCTCACGTTTTTAATTATGAGGTCTACAATCTGCTTACGTCATCTCTACGTGCAATATCTTCGTTCTTGCTTTTTAGTGGTAATGCGCAGTTGTTAAATTTAATGGCTCAAATAAAACAAAATATTTGTTGATACTGTATTACCCACCGTTGAACGATATTGACCTATAGACCTGCTGTACATTTTTGACTTACAGGTATAAAACGGTAATTTTTTATTAAAAATTATGTAATTAAATGTTTTCCAATTTCAATATACATTTGGAATATATTTATAATAATTTTTAGTAACTTTTAGTATACTAGTGATCATCTCATTGAATTTGGCACAGTTTCATTTCCAAATACGCAGAAATCGTGAGATATCAACAACAACGTTATGAGCGACGGTAAGTACTTTCCAAGACCGTAATAATATTATATTATAAAATTACACTCATTTTTTTTTCAACTATAATTTAACAACATTCAAATTTTGATGGTGTTCAGAATTTTATAAAAATTTGAACTACTAACTGTGATTGGGATATGATCAATTTTTGAAAAATGTATTGAATTTTCAAAATTTTTAACCAAAACAAAAATGATACCTATCATAATTCCCACTTTCGAAAATCAACTGTTCATTTCATATTTCATAATTAATTTTAGAATTCAAAAACATTTTCATCATAATGTTTTGAACGAACGTATGTACCTATGATGTTTACTGTTTAATGTTGACTACCTTGTAGAATAACTTTGATAATATGATCTAAATACAAATTATACTATCTGATCAGTTAACAGTTTTATGTACCTAGTCTAAATATTATATTGATTTATCGAATATTAGATAAATGTTAAATAAAATTATTATCTTGAAACCATAATACTTTATTTGGTAATAAATGTATATTGTAGATGTAGAATAGCTAAAATACAGCTCATGTACCTAATGCTTAGTGTTATATGTGAATTAATACACTGTTTTTACCTATTTCAGATTTAAAAAAGATGGCACTCTCTACAAATTTAGAAGCATTACGCTGCGCAAATCAAGACTTTTCGTTTTCTTTGTACAGGGTATAGAATTAATTTTTCTTATTATAAATATAATTTTTTACCTAATAAATAATAATTCTATAGGAAGTTGCAAAAACTGAAAGAGGAAATATTTTCTATTCTCCGTTCAGTATTCACTTGATTATGTTTATGGCTAGTTCTGGAGCAGCTTCGAAAACATTTGATGAAATAGTAGCCACCTTACATCTAAACAAAACTACTTATTCACTAGAAGCGTATAAGCAATTATTGGAAGACATAACAGTGAGTTCATTATACAGCATGTTGCATTTATTGTATCTCATTATGTTTATGTATTAATATTTTTATGCTATACAAATATAAATTGTACCTATTACTGTTTGCCTATTTTACAATTATGACATTTATTGCAATGGTATATAATTTTCATGGTAATTTATTTTTTTTTATCATAATGTTGTAAATAAAATATTTTTAAAACAGTATAGAAATAATTTGTTAAATATTAAAATGTAACTATATGACCTTATAAAAATAAAAAGTACTTAAATACTATTTTAGAGTGAAAATGATAATCTGAAATTGGCAACCGGAATGTTTGTCGATAAGTCATTCAATGTCAAAGAAAGTTTTGTGGAAAACTCTATGAAATATTTAAAATCTTCTATGGAGAAATTGAATTTCAAAAATGATCCAGAACAACAGCGCCAATATTTAAATGATTGGGCTTTAAAAGAAACCAATAACAAAATCAAAGATGTATTTCTCGAAGGTATAATTAACTCATATAATGGGTGTTATGTTTGTAATTAATAATGTAAGCATGGGCGGAGATGGGGCTTAGCCCCCCCCCCCAAAAAAAAATATTAAATAAACAATACCGTAATTTTGTACAGTTTACAGAATTGTTTTCATTATTTTATATTCTTATATTCACAATTATATAAGTGTACCTAATACTTTACATACATGATATTATGATATGTACCAATTTATTATTTACGGTAACATACCGAACAATTAAGTCACAATTCACAATAATATTTTATTGTGTTTGTGTACCTAATATTGTACATATATCGTACCAATTGGCCATCAATATTGAATAACATATTATACATTTATACCGTTCTATTTATAGATTGGAACAATATTATTTCTTTTCTAATTTTTGTTAATTCTCGATAAGCGATAGCTATTATAGGACTATCGCTATAGCTGTATTAAACCTATCTTAAAGCTTATCGTGATTGAATGAATAGTATTCCTGGCTCCTGCATTGTAATGGGTATCGTACACTCGTATTTGTACCGTTACTGTGACCGTATTGACCATTTTATACAAAATTATATTTTACTTACTGTTTGATGTCCTTGGGAATACGTTTCCTTTGAAATTGTGATTTAGATTTTTAATAAATAATTTAGTTCGATTATGTTTGAAATATTTTAATTTAAATCTCATTAATTATTCTTTTTTTTATGTTTGTAATTATTTAAGTTGTTATGATAACTAGTCAACGAGAACAATTTTTTTTTAGTGATTTAATGTAAAAATTAGTTTGTTGAGGGTGATTGGGCAACGCCCCCACGGGTCTGTTTGTCATTAAATATTTGAGCCCTTCTCAATATTTCACAAGAAATGAATGTGAGTCATTTTTGTTCCAATTTTTTTTTGCAGACTCTATCAATTGTGATACTACTTTAGTATTGGTAAATGCTGTGCATTTTAAAAGCTCTTGGGCACATCCATTTAGACATGTTTATGATGAATTTTTCTATGTGACTCCAAGCAACAAAGTTCCAGTGAAAATGATGAATCTCGAATGTGATTTTCAATACTATTATGATAGTATTCTAAAATTCTCCGCACTTGAATTACCTTATAATGTGATAATACTGCTTATAAATGTAAATTTATAACTTTGAAAAACGTATTATTTTGTATTTTTCCTTTCAGAACTGTGATTTTAAAATGACGATTTTACTGCCCGATGCTAAAGATGGATTGAGTAATCTGGAGGATAATTTTTTTTCAAAATTTAAATTACTTGATATTTCAAAAAAAATGGCCCTGAATTACCTTACAGTCAAATTACCTCGTTTCAAAATAGAACAGTCACTACAATTGAATGAAATATTATCCATTGTAAGTACATGAAAAAAAAAATGTATATTTGTTGATTTAAATAATATTTTAGCTTGGATGTCCTACAATGTTTACACAAGAGGCAAACTTTTCTAACATTGTTGATGATCGTGATCTCCATGTGAGTAGTGTTTTACATAAGGCATATATTGATGTAGATGAATATGGAACTGAGGCTGCAGCAGTTACAAGTAATAATAAAGTTCATTACCTTACTTTAGATATCATGAATTTAATGATTGTTATAGTTTTTATAAGTATGTAAATCAGTACCCACTTAATCATTAATATTTAAGTATATGTATACTGTATAGGCTGTAATGCTAATTTAATTATGAATATATTTTAAATAATGTTAAATATAATTAGGTTTCAAACTTCTTCATTGTGTGCAATATCATCTGATATTGATTTTGTTTTTGATCATCCATTTATGTTTTTTTATTCATCTAAATAAAACAACATAATATTTGTAGGCTGAGTGAGACCAAAATTGATTAATTGGCTCAACATTTTATTAAAGTTCTTTTAAATATTTACTATAGCTTGTTAACAAATTAATTACTGTGAACCATTTACAGTAAATGTTTTATATTTTATTAACAGATTTGTGAGTGAAATTATGATTTATAGTTACAAGTGCATTCCGTTTGTTTTTAATTTGAAATAATGTGTCCATGTTTTGAATTTTTTATAATAGCTTTAAATCCTTACTTTTAATAATGTTATTCTATTTATTGCTTTCTATAAAAATGATGTTGATTATGAAAGATTTTTATCAGGGTTCAATACCGTTTCGTTTTGTACTGGTTTCTGTTTGAAGAGCAATTTTTTTATAATTTTCCGGTTTTGGTGTCATTTTGAACATTCTATGAGCAATAAATAAATTTTATGATGATTGTTTTATCTGTCCGCCATCACCTTTAGAGACGGTGAAAAATCTCCCATTTTCTACATCAGCATCTTTCTGGTAGTAATGTGAATTTAGTTGGTACTTTAGAGATGGGCTGCACTCCTACTAATTATTTTTATAATCATTTTTAATACACAATTTATGATGAATTTGACCTACGATAATATTATTAAATAATATAAATTTCAACCTGGATTAAGTAAATACAAATGCATAAGCTAATTATATCATTTTTAATGTTATAGCTTTCCAATGTCAACCACACTGTGCAAGATTATCTAAATATGTTATTGTTGATCATCCGTTTATGTTTTTTATTTCTACTAAATGTAATACCATTATGTTTGCAGGTCGAATCACCAAAATCGATTAATTTTATATTGTTTACAACATTAATCATTTTAAACATTATCATATATTATATTTTTTATTTATTTATTTTGTTAAGTAACGGATGAGTATTTATGTGCATTAATTAATCTTTTTAAAACCATTAACTACTTTTTTTCAAAATCTAATTTAACGTATTCTGTGTATTTTTAGATTAAAATAATGTATTAATGTGTATGTGTTTTGATTTTTTTTAACTTCAGCAACGTTAGGTGACATGTTCAGGTAGTGCGTGTTGAGGTGTTTAGTGTGCATTCCTCCATTCTGCTTTTATTCAACTGTCTTAATCGTGATGATTAAAACTGTTTTTAACATGCTTAAAACTTTTAAAACAAGCATTTCACGATTTTTGATTAAATTAAAAATGATAAATAAATAGTTTAGAGTCTTAAGTCTCCAAGGGATTACGAATAGAAACAATAGGTAAGAAATAAAGACTATATTCAACTTTTGGTTGTATTAATAGTATACTATAAACTAAAAAACCGTTAAGGTGTGAAAAAGACGAGTATAGTGTAAATTAGTTTCAGTGTTTAAAAGTCTAAATACTATGCCGGAGTATACAAGTAGTGATTTTCAGTTATAGTTATTTTAATATCATAGAACATAAATTCTAATAGTTATTATCTACTATACTTTTTTTTTTCATTAGAACTTTCACTTTAAACTATTACAATTCAACAATTACTACTTAGTACAATTAGAATATATATAGCACACCTATTAGATAGGAGAATGATTGAAAAATAACAGTATGTGTATTATACTTATTAGAAATATTATTTGGTATTAATGTTTTATTTTTTAGGGTTAAAATTCAAAAATGTTATTTTATGTTTATAATTGTATATACTTAGTTGAACATTATAATAGTATCTGTTATATTATTATTTACTATCCTTATCTTAAACACTAAAGAGTCAAAGAAAAGACTGATGAGTGAGAGTGATGATCAATAATTTTTTGTTCAACTGTTTCTAAATTTTGTTCAGTATCTGACCCTATAGGTTCTTCAACGAAACCATCGTTTTCTAAGTTATCTATATGCAATGGCGCAACTAGACTTCTAAAACGCAGCGTGCTAAATCTGTGAATGCATCACAGAGTTGTGGGGGGTAGAGTCACCCACACCCCCTGCCCCTAAACCTACAATACTCGATAAATCAAAACTTTAAAATACATATTAACACACTTCACATAAATAAAAGAAAAGAAATTAATAATTCTGTTTTTTTTCTACAATATCAATAACATATTGGTACATTTTAATTTCATAATCTTGTTAATAAATAACTAAGATATCATACATTTTAAATCAGCATAATTTGTCTAGATTTCATGCAGTATAAATAATTCTGCAACTATGTAATGTGAAATAGTTACAGAAAAGTTCATCGACGGCCATATGAATAGATTATTAAATAGATCAAACAAATGTCAATGATGTATCCTGCTATTTGTTTTCAAATAAAATATCTATTATAATATACATATAACAAGTTAAACACAGATCTGTGGTTTGATTTAAATACGACATTTACTTAAAAATACATAGTAATAAATAAATTACAATATTTTAAAATGACCAGTAATGCTCAGTGTTATGATATAATATTGTATTTCATAATTAATACACTCTAAATTGAATGAGTAACGTTAAATTGTATATTGCTAATATGTTAAATAAATTAACTATTTATTTGATGCTGGACCATATAATATTATTATGCATTTATGCATAATTCATAGTATGCAATACAAATATTTTAGTTTTTTACAACAACAGAAAAATGTATTTGCATTCAATAGCATGATATTTACATGTATTTTGTTAACTATATGCAATAATAATAATGGCCAGATCCTACGGATTTCATCGGTTAAACAATGTTTAATGCAGTATTCGCTGCTGAATACAAATGGCTTAAATGCTCAAATTGATGCACATGGAATCTTCTGAGTAGGTGTCCCGTACGTTTAGGCGTTAGACAAATAACGTAGGGTAGTTAAGAACACATCCGGGCGGCGAATAATTGTTGTTGTCTCAATCACGTAAGACCTATGCTGTAGTATGGCCTCCCATGTGCGTGAAGTTGGCCACCCCCCATGACCAATTTTTTCGAGAGTTATATTATCATTTTGCAAATTGGTTTTAAGAATTTGCAAATAAATTACCCACATAGTATGAAAAATATAAGATGGGGGGGGGGGGCAACTTCACGCTGCACCCCCTTTTGAACTACGAATTGAAATATGCTGCTAACATTTTGTAAATAGCCGCTAACTTATTTATAATTACGTAGGTATAGTTTATAGTACAATTTAAAATTATATTATGTAATACACAATTGAAATATACTATTTACAGAAGTATTTTACAGAATATATCGGGCTACTATTTAATATAAGTTTAATATAGAATAATTTTGTTTCTTACCCTTATAGTCTTAATACATGGTAATATTACAGTAAACATAAATTAATAATTTTTTTTTAAAATGTATTTATTAATTCTTTTTACTCTATATTTGTAGGAACATAACATGGGTTATTGAATATTATAAGCTCATGGTCATCAAATAAGAGCTCACTTTAATTAATAACAATTTTTATTTTGTTTTGCTAATACATAGATTATGCTTTTCAGATCTTCAAATTGTTTTCATTTTAAATTTACTTTATTCATTTTTAATTATTAAAGTTAGTCGGGCTCAGACAGTCAAAGCGATAGAGCTAGTGCTCTGCAGTTTCGTATTGCGTCGCGTATTGTATCTAATCATTTAATTACCTACCGTAATGAGGCATTAAAAACATTTAATGGCTACGGTTTCACCAATTGTTATTCTAAACAAAAATACTGTTCGTAGAAAGAAATCGAAGGAAAACTCTACAAAGAGAATTCACTCGTCGACCTCCTAAACTCGGGGATTCACGAGGAGCAGAAAAGTAAATTTTTCGTAACACCAAATCGTTTCCAAGTTTTAGCAACGGAGGAACAAGACAATGTTTTCGTGCAAACATAATCTCAGCTCGTCTCACAAACTACCAAGACCTCGCCAGAGCCGAGTAAGACAAAACTTCCAAGTATCGTATTAAAAAACATTACCGATTTCATATTCCTAAAAAAAGATTTAACTAGCATAGTGGGACCAGGGGGTTTCACATGCAAATCTAATAGATCGAATATTACCGTTCGGTCAAACACACGTGAAAATTGGATGGCCATTAAATCTTATCTGGTTAAAGTCGATTAAGAGCATAGAGTACCACTCTTATCTCCCCGTTCCTCCCAACCTTTCTGTGTCGTACTACGCCACCATCACTACTAATATTATGTTTCGGAATTTGAAATAAAAAATGTATTGTGTCATCCAAAGAATTCAAAAACTCGAAAACTGATAACAACATATTATATCAACCCGCAGACAATTTATTATACGAGTTACACCCCGCAGCCAGCTGCATAATAATGTAGTACATCATATTTACACGATTGTGTGCCCTTATCGGTATAATATACTGTTATGATTGTTCTCCAATTATCCGTCTTCGTCTGCCATCTATATGTATACACATATCGTACCTTGAAAATAATGTCTTGGCAACATTCCTAATATTTTGCTGGCCGATACAAAATCAACAAAACATCGTTACGATAGATTTGACTAGTATAAATAGTTTTTGTAACTAGAAAATTATTTTGACGTATCGATCACTACCCAATAGCTACGCTACCTAGAAGCATCTACGTGCGCATCTTTCACATTCCAGTATTGATTGTCATATCGTCGTACGCTTTTAAGACTTATAGTGTAATATGTCATCCTTATCTTCTAACAACGAATCCGTTATGGTGCAGTCAACGGAAGCCGAAGAGATGATGAGAATATTTGAAGAATTGAGATCGATAACGTTCCACATTCCAACGACATTTTCGACACCGGTCGGAACATGGCCGGTGTTGAAAAGATACAAGTCCGCGCCGAATATGACCACGATTCGTCACCAACCGCCGGCAGTAGGAGACTCCGAAATATGTCGGTGTTTGTCCGTCCCTGCAGCTGAGCTAGACGAGATGACCGCTCCAGAGGACGGAAAAGCCAACGCGTCGCTGATGGATAACGGTGCTGCGAGTTTGATGGAAACTCCGAAGGGTATGAACACGTCATCATGTACGTCCGTTCAGTCAGCGCCCGAAGTACCGACATTAATGCCCAAAGTCCGGCGGGAAAGAAATGCATTTGGTGACTGTTCAACGCAGAGTCGATGGTATTCAGCTCCAAATGTACACATCACTTTTGAACAGGTGGACCACCCGGAACGGGAAACTGGACGCAATGACGGCGACGTGCAGGAGTTTGTCAGCGCAGACCCGATAAAACCTAAACGGCGTAGCTCAATATGGAGCCGGACGAAGAAATTCGTCCGGCGCATGTTTTGCTGCGCCGTTTAGAGGGTGACCACAACCCCTTGCTTGCCGAATGAAGTCGT